CTAGTTTGGAGAAGCATGAGAAGTCAGTACAGTACAGGCATTCCATCCTACATTGGTAACGTCTATACAGTTCTCCATATTGTCATACCTGCTTTTGCACCTTAGTCGTGACACAGTTTTTCATCCTTCAATTATGACCAAGAGTACTCACTGGGTAAACCATGACAGGTTTGCTGCATTGAGAACTTAGCGCTCAATTATATATTACTGTCATAGGGGTGGGAGTGTATTTGGTGGTAGAGTGTAGTTTGCCATATGTGTGGATCAGGGTTTCATTCTCAGCTCAAAAAAATAACAATATTGTGATGGCTGCTAGGAGGGGCAGAGACAGTCTTTCAAGGATGACACTTTTGGGTGAACCAGATTCCAGTGGAGGGACCCACACTGAACGACATTTGAGGATACAGTAGTACTGTACAGACCTTATTATATTACATTAGAGGACATTAAATTGGGCAGGGGACAATAAGGAGAGATGTGGATAGTGGATGGGATCATGAAATTATATTATATGGATATAGTAAATATTCAGTAAAAATTTATTTTTATTCTTTTGACCTGGTTTCAGATAATCAAAGTGTGTTTCTCTATTATTTTTGCCTTGCTTACTTCCCACAGTAATTGGAATTTTCTTAATAACATATTGACCTTCATTTACATTCAGTTTCAGCTTTCTTCCATCCTTGATGACAATTCTGCCATTAGCAAAATCAAGCTGGATCCTTTTGAGTCTACCAAGTTTGATAGTAGGATGGGGTTTCTGGAGTGAAAAACAAGTATTCTGGGAAAAAAATGTAGAGGAAATTCTATATCATACATGCAGTGAACTTTAAAGGTTTCATGGCAATCTATATGCAGACTATGTTTTCTGAAGCAAAATTAAAAAATTATTTGTTTGCACATTAGATCATATTAATAAGAATGATTGTTCAAGATTAGAATGAAGGAAAGAAATAGCTGAAGTATTTCTAGAAGGATTACAGGAAGTTTTCAGGAAAGCTATAAAACTTGATACAGAAGAGATAAGAGACAATAAAATGAAAATGAGGGAATTAAAGGGGCTGATGGAGGTAAGTCATGAAATTGTCAAGTATTATTAAGGAACTGATTGTGTTTAGTCCATGGACTTTGGCAAAGAACTTTGTTCCATTATTGCTGTGATTTCAAGAATGACATCTTAAGCATCTGTGTTTACAATGTGTGGTGTTACATAGTTTATAAGCTGCCAACATTGTGAGTCCTAAAAGAAACAGATGGTTAAACTCACATCTGTGCAATTTCATTTTCCTTTTTGTAGATCCTATGTATCTATTTGATTCCTCCTAGTCATTTTTGCTCTTTTTACATACGTATGATGGAATGTAAACATTTCCATTAAATTATTTTTTCAGATACTGATATTTTTCTCATTTATGCTGCACAATAATATTTTAATCTCTATCTCAGTAGTATGATAGAGGAGGAGGAGGACTTGGGAATGTGTGAATTTGATCAAACTGTATGCATGTGTGAAATTCTTAAACAAAATGAAAATATGGTACATTTACACAATGGAGTTTTACTCAGCAGTAAAGAAAAGATGAAATAATGAAACTTGCAGGTAAATGGATGAATCTAGAAACTGTTATACTAAGTGAAGTAACACGGACTCAGAAAAACAAAAGATGCATGCTCTCCTTCATTAGTGGGTCCTAGCAGCAAGTCCTTATAAGTGAGTTCATATCCTCCTGTAACTGCAAGAACCAGGAAAGTGGGTGGAAACCAGGGAGGTAAGGGGAAAGAAGGCACCCAAAGGAGAAGAATAGTAAGAGATAGGCATTACTAAAGGAGAAATTTGGGGGAAAGGGGGGTAGTTGAAGGGGAAGAGGAGGGCTATACAAAGAAATGTGGGAATAAAGGGGAAGATGGAGCTCATAGCATGTAAAAACTATCAAGGGAGAAATAGGCACAATGGGACATTTTAAATGAGAAAGCCAGGGAGGGAGAATCAAACAGGGAGAGAAAGAGGGCCTACCTAGTATAAAAAAAGAGGTAATTATATTAGTCCAAAAACAAACTGAAAATTTTCACACACACTATCTGTACATGAGTCCTTGATTACAGCTTAAGACTACATAACAAGAAACATTGCCAGATAGGAGAAACCTTCCTTTGAGTTGTTGGGCAGGATACTCCAAGATATTCCTAAAATTATACAGGCTATTGCCACAGTCCTTGATTGCCTCCTAGAACTTGACAGTAAGTCCTTATTGGTGAAGACAGGACATACTTTGGACACAGGATTTGGAGCAATGGAGTTGGAACTGACCTGGAAGCCACCTCCCCTGAAGAATACCTCTCATACCTATAGAGAGCACTAAGCAAGCAAGGAAGGAAGAACATCAGCTGATGATCCAACCCTAGCTTCAAGGCCTAAAAACACATCAATGACCAGCACAGTAAATGACATTGGTGCAGTAGTAGTACTTTTATCTTGTCGGTAAACAACAGCTACTTAATTAAACTTAAAGCCCACTCAATGGGAGAGAACTCATATCTGGTCCTGCAAAACCTAGCCGAATACACATATCTGGAGAGGACATAGATCTTAGAGAAAACCTCAAGGCTTTCATATCCCTAAACAAATGTAATTTCTTACTATGTTCAAAATATGAACCTTAAATTTACAGACAAGTGTCCCAGTCACCACTCTTCAAGGTAGCTTCTTTATCAACAGACAGAGATCATTACAGAGTTACACCACTGGTCACATACAGAGATTCTCTCTGAATTGCCCAAGCTCAAGTGGCACATTTATTATGCAGCCTCTACATTTAAGACTCTCAAAACATAAAACAAGGTATGAAGAATACACTAATGCATCTTTCAATTCTCATCAATGAGGCTCTCTCATACAACAGAAGGCCAGAAACACAAAAGGCCACAAATGGCCAAAACACAGAGAATAAAAGTCAGCAGAGTGTTGGTCCTTGGATAGGACTCCTATATTAAGGTCCACCAACCCAGTGCTCAGGGACTATTGCCAAAGTGGGGGCAGAAAGATTGTGAGAGCCAAGGAGGAGGTACATGACCATACAGGAACAGTCCTCCAGGCACCTGGGACCCTTCTCATACAAACCTACAGCAATGGTGTCAGCATGCACAAGACCCATGCAAACTTACACAGAAAAAAGCCAGCACAAAACTGTGGAAATGAAGAGCAGACCCCAACCTTAGTCAAAGAGTTATTGGCAGCTGATTACTGCTGGGTGAGAAAGAGCTGATCTTCTTGAAGTGAGAGACTCTAGGTAGGCTGACTAAACCCCAGTGGATGAACTTGCACTGAGGGACATCTCGGGACACTAACTTTACATAATAGCCCTTAATACAAATGACAGAATGTAAGAACTCCAGTGGGGTGGCTATTGGAGGGTGCCAAATGGAAAGGCGGAAGGAGGTATAAAGATGGTTTTGTGAAATATACCAAAATTCAATAAAAATTTTAAAGAATGTTAAAAATATAAATTATTTTAGAATAAAATGTCAAAGATTAAATATGCAAAAAATACAAATGATGGGTAAGGGAGGGTAGACCTTCCTTAAAATCTCTAGATAGGGTGAGTAGACTCCAGGGGAAGAACTTACACCAAAGGACATCTGGGTAAAAAACTTGAACAGGATGGAACTAACATGTGTGACAGAATGCATGAGGTCTGGTGTGCGTGGGGTGGGGGCTTGAATTGGGGAGGGAGTCTAAATTAGATTAAGGACTATTGTAAGAAATGTATAAAATCGTAATACATTTATAAAATTGGAAATAAATATTACAATGTAATACCACCACACTTCATTTCTAACGTTTATTATCAAACTGAAAACGACAAATGCCGGTGAAGAGGTGGAAAAATTCTTCCTGTAATACAAATTAGTACAAATTTTATAGAAAGCAGTGTTTAAATCATCCCTAAAAAAAATTGTTATATGGTTTGTTTCTACTTCTGAGCAAATGAGTGATGAGTTCAGAAGAAATGTAGTCAGCACACCAAAGAGATTCCTGAAAAACTACTTATCAGAAAACTTCACAATTTCTGAGATTCTTCAATAAATGCATGGATAAAGGTATGCATGTACATATAAAAATAGAGTATTAAGTAGCCACACAGAAGAAAGAAATTAATGCATTTTCAGGAAAAAGGATGGAATTGGAAGACATTATATGAAATTAAATAAGCCATATGAGAAACATTAATATCACACAATCTCACATATGGAAGTTCAAACCAAAGTGATTACAAGAGGTTGAAAACACAGAAGTAGAGGTCAAAAGAGCTTAAATGTCATCAGGGAGTCCTGTCCAAGGCCCAGCATTTCAGTTCTTCTATGATCCACTCAAGTCCACTGCTGAGTTTAGTTCTAGACTTTTCGTTGATATCCAAAGATTCACCAATGCCCAATAATACCTCTGCTCTGTTGTATCCTTTGACTCTAATAACCAGCTTCTATCTAAGAAAAAAAAACTATAAATTGTAATTGCTCACCAACATAAGACACTGAAGTTAAGACACCATATATCTTCCCCACTTTTCTGTTCTGAGAGTATCAATAAGTACAGTTTCAATTTTGACTTCGTGATTTAGTTACATATTTTCCAAACACAGTGCTTTGTGCAGTTGAACTGCTGAGTAGATTAGGTGAAGCTGAACTCAACTGCTATTCACTATCTGAGTTAAATGGGTAGAAGTAGACTAATCTCTCAGTAGAGGAATGTTCCAGAAAGGATCACAGTTAAATGCAATAAAATTCTATGATTAAATGGTAATCGAAACAGGACAGTGAGGGTAATGGGACTGCATATGACCAAAATATATTATTAATACTCATGAAACTACTAAAAAAGAAAAAAAAATACTTGAAAACTAAACAAACATTCTGAACTCAACTGAATCTAATTATGTTTGATGAGATTTGTTGCTCCCGTTTAAGAGAAACTCATTTAATTATCTCTGTACATATCTCTCTAGATCCAGCTAAAGGCCCATGCTCAAAGATGAAATGCAGTCGCCATAAGGTCTGCATTACTCAAGATTCTCAGACTGCACTCTGCATCAGCCACCGGAGGCTCTCACACAGGTAACACTGTGAAACTAAGCCCTAATGATCTCCCTTGACAGAACACAAATATCTATCAGTATCAGGTTGATATTTGATGATTTAGATTTGTTGAAATGGTTCCAGAAGCTTGTTTAGTACAAATGTGACTCAAATGGATCAAACATTGTTTCCAATCAGAATTCCTTGGTATTATAGAATTTATGTTTGTATTATTAAAGAAAGCAGATTTATAAAGATTAGGTTAAAATGCTTTATCTGTATAATCATGCTTTTTTTTAATTCAAAGATTAATTGCAATTAGGTTACCCTGTACTTATTTTTGTTAGTGAATTCGGGCTTCTCAGTTTTCCATATAGAGGGTAGGTAAATTTAAATGTTCAAAAAAAAGGAGGTGTTTTCAAATAGTACGTTTCATAAGATCTTCCTTAAGCAGTGTTCTTGGTGGTGCCTTTGCAGCTAGAGCCTTGAGCTGGCAAACATCCCTAGACACAAAGACAGGATGATAAACATACTTTGATCAGAATCCTGTTGTTCCTCTAGAGTGGGCTCTGTTTTCAGAAGAGTCAATAACTTAGAAATAGCCCGTGTTTGGTGCTGAGCTTTAAGGACTGGAAGTTGCCATATTCACAATGAAACTGACCAAAGAAAATGTCAATATTTATTCTTTTTTACATTTAAAGGAATTCTTTTAGGAGCTGTTCTTTTGTGAGAGCAAAACTAATTCATGTACTGTTTTTAAATAAAATTGCCAAGAAAATTTTGGCATTTGCCTATTCTCAGAAAATAACTGAAATTTTGAGTTTGATAGACTCCCATATAAATATTATTTTCAAGACACAGACTTGTTTTTCCAGATAATTGGAAGGGTAAAAGCACATTTACACAGTGGAGTTCTACTCAGCAGTAAAGAAAGATGAAATAATATAATTTGCATGTAAATGGATAGATCTAGAAACTATTATACTAAGTGAAGTAACACAGACTCAGAAAACCAAAAGATGTATGTTCTCCCTCATATGTGGATCCTAGCACCAAATCCTTATAATATGTGGAATCCCACTAAAATGGGCCAAAAGCCCGTGGAAAACAAATGATTCAGAGACCCGAAATTTCAGTGCTTTGCCACAATGGGAGGATGATCACCCCACACTTATCACTCCCTCCAAGGCCCAGGGAATTTTGAAGAAGAGGTCAGTCTAGTTGTATTATTTCTGTATGTTTCATGCATAATTTCCAAAAGTGAGTTTAGGTGGTATATAGGAGGCACTCCACATATAATTTAAAATAATTTGAAGTTGGGTGTGGTAGCACATGCCTTTAATTCCAGCACTTGGGAGTCAGAGGCAGTCAAATCTCTGTGAAATCAAGGCCAGTCTGGTCTAAAAAAAAACAACAAAAAAACCAAAACAGATGACTAATAACAGAAGACATGCGGTCGGGGGAATAATAATGTGGGGGTACAGAGGGCAGAGGGGGTCTGAATATGGTTAGACTACATTGAATGAAGTCCCAAGTCAGTAAAAACATCTAAAAAAATGAATCAATTGGTTTCATGAACAAATGCACAGTTTACTCAAAACAAGGAGGATATAAATACAAAACGGAAGGTGTCCATGACCATTTGTTAAAAAATTGTAAGCCTTTAACTTGGACTTGTAAGAAGGTGATATAATATATTTTATTCTTCCTTGATGCTATAAAAAGAGAAAAATACAATGCTTCTAAAATGAGACTTATTATGATTAGGTGGGTCATATGCTTAGCTCTAGCTTTGACCACAGCTACCATCACAGAGTAAATTATTCAGATATATCATGGTGTAAGTAACTGTAACTCAAGTGAATTTTTTTTGATGATCTGGCCTCAAAGAAGAACAACATTATTGCTTTCTTGTAAATTTTCTGTTATCATTATCTAGTTAAACCAGAGAATTTCCTGAGCTATAGAGAAGACTTTTAATTATAACGATATTCCCAGTATGCAAACTCACCAAATATTTAGGTGGTTTAATAAAATGACTTTATTTTCTTAGACTTTATCTATTAACAACTTTTTATCTTAGTAGTGTTGAGTCTCAGTTCTGCAGACCTTCAGAAGTAATACTGCTTTGTTTTGTGCATTATGAGAATCAGTGTTTCATGTTCCCTTGATGCCTGAGTAAAAGCACATAATTAACACTATCTCTACATCAGTCTTTGTGGCACCAATACTACCAATATTAAAAGATAAAGGGTTGACACAATAAGACAGAGAAACAGTTGAACTCCTTATAGGACAAAGATAGCCATGCTAATTCCTGCTTATATTGCAACAAAGGATGCAAAATCAATGAATAAAAGCCTTTGGCCTCAAAAGAAACCATTGAAAACATTAATGAAAATGACAAAACTTATCTACAAGGACACTTGTCAAAAATAGATGTCAATGCCTGGCATGGTGGTGCACTTCTTTAGATCCAGTACTTGGGAGACAAAGGCAGATGGATCTCTGTGAGTTTAAGGGCAACTTGATTACACGGTATGTTGCAGAGAGCCAGGGCTACATAATGAAATCCTGTCTATTTTTTAAAGGTAAAAAGTAAAATCAAATAGATACCAAATGAACACAAATATTAAAACCATTCAATTGTAATGATTCATCTTGGGTTTTTATATGTTAAAATGACCGAATTTAACAGAGGACCAGTTTTTTTTTTTTTTTCATATAGATGTTAACTGCATGATTAGAGATATTTTTTTCATTTAGATCATTACAAAGTGGAAATATTTCAGATAGGAAAAATTAGTTACAAGTTTAAGGTTATAGTCAAGTAGTGAAATGCTTGTTGAAATGAAATAAACATAATCGTAACTATTTGAAAATAGCTTGGTTGATACATAAGATATAGTCTCTTTGGATTATTAGTACATTGAAAATGTCCTCTGAGAAATTATTTCATATGTATTTTTTACTTGTTTCATATGTAACACATGTAAAGCTTTGTAAAACTTCTGAAAGTGGTTATCGTATAAAATAACACTAATTACAGAATAACCATGAGACCCAGGTATACCACTCCTATGACAAAGTCACTTACACATACATGTTTATTGACTATTCACAACAGAAAGTAAACAGAAGCTGCCTAGATGTCCATCAACAGGAGAAAGGATAATGAGCACGTTCCATATATACATACTAGAACTGGACTCAGCAGTTAAGAAAAATGAAATTATGAACTACTCAGGAAATTGTTTGGATCTATTTTGTATTGACATTTGCATTGTGTGAGAAATGTGAATCTATGTTCATTCTTTTGCAAGTGGATATCCTGTTATAGCTTTGAAGAAAATGGAACAAAATTTGTTTTCTTGTGACAAAACATAAAAGGATGAGAATTTTTTCTTAAAAAGTGATATAAGTGATCAATTTCTAAGGTTTACTTATTTAAAAAATTTTAACTCTCATGGAAACAGCCTGTGGACAAGCTGACAGCACCATATGATAGAAATTCCTCTCTTGCTAGACCAGTGAGTTCCATTCTCTACATTTACAGAGACTTTCTACAGCACACACACACACACACACACACACACACACACACACACACATACACACACACACACAATCATAGCTATCTGCAAACATGGATAATATGCACATCATTGTGATTTAATTAACTTAGTTTAATTAATTACATATTTTAATTAATGAGAAGTATCTGCTTTGTAGATATTAGTATTCAAGATCTTCTTACAGGACTACATGCAGCTCTCTTCAATGTGCTTATTTTCAAACTTGTCAGTGTTTATTTTTTTTTAAAACTCAGGCACTGTAACTATGAAGTTAAGTGGAAAATATTTTTATTTTAATAGCTACTGCTAAACACTGTCCAAGAAGTCCACCAGTGTCTCTATAAGAAGCAACATATGTTTGCACAAGTTCGATTGCAAAATTAGCAATAATTGCTGCATAGTATTTTGAATTTTGAACTTTGACTCTTATGCTTTTGTATAGAGTCATTTCTTTTCATTTTGACAGGTATCTATGGGTTTGTATGTGTCTTTAAAAGTGGAAGATGGGCTAGATAGTTCTGGTGGTTGATGCCAGCCCTAATCTCATACTGCACCATAGTGAATAATAGTGAAAAGGGCTGAGAATTAAAGGATTTCAGGTATACTACTAATGTATGTGGAATTCTAGCATCTATTTTAAAGGCGAGGACATTATAAGATTTAATGATAGCTCCCAACAATGGAAAAGAAATGTTGGAGCTTCAAGCTGCAAACAAATAAACAAATGTGCATAATTTAATCTCACTATTTTGGGGGTTATATTATTCATAAAGCAGTCAGTTTTTGATAGACAGATATTAAAATGAACATAATTAGTGTTTTACATTTTTCTTCTTTTGGATAATCTCTTCATGCAATGAGTAATTCTTATTCTTTTCTCTCCAGGTAATCAGTTATCTTTCTTAGCATGCTGGAAAATTTAATATTTTCATGTTAAATGCCATGATTTCCTGCAATCAGTTGAATTGATTATTATGAACAATGAATTCGCCTTATTTCAATCATAACGTTTAAAATATTAAATACCAAATTTCTGTTACTATTTTTTTGTGTACTTTAATTGAAATGTATGTATTCCATACACAACATCTTAACTCTCTTTATATCCCCTTCTCCATTGCCCCCCTCCCCATCCACCTCCCACTGGATTTCTTGGATTCTGTCATTTATGTTAAGATTCATCAAGTCAACTTAGTTTCCCCATATGTCCTCCAGTGAATATTCATCCACTGGAATCTAGTTAGCCTATCTAAAGTTCTCCTTAAAGAAATTTTTAAAAAATATTTTTTTTATTTTTATTTTATGTGTATGAGTGTATTGCCTGCATGTTGGTGTGTGCAACTGTGTCGTGCAATGCCCGTGGAGGACAGAAGAGGCTGTCAGATCACCTGGAACTGGAGTTATGGACAGTTGTTAGCTGCCCTGTGGGTTCTGGGATTCGAACCCCGATCTTCTTCAAGAACA